TACTGCTACTGCTACTGCTACTGCTACCACTACTACCACTACTACGACGACTAACACTACTACTACTACTACTACTACTACTACTACTACCACTACTACTACTACTACTACTACTACTACTACTACTACTACTACTACTACTACTACTACTACGTTTACTACCACTACCACTACTACTACTACTACTACTACTAATACTGCTATTACTACTACTACTACTACTACTACTACTACTACTACTACTACTACCACTACCACTACCACTACCACTACTACCACTACCACGACGAGTGATACTACTAGTACTACGTCTACTACGACTACCGCGTATCACCGCGTATCTACTACGACTACCGCGTATCCGCGTTGTGAGTACCGCAATTGTGAATAGTTTCTTCGGTGACGTTCCCTAAGGGGCCACGAAGCACTACGCTGGGGGGGGGGAACGCGGCCCCAAGGGGCCCCAACACAGCCCCGGAGGCCTCCAAGATGGCCGAAGAAGCTCTCAAAACGGCTCCAAGAGCGGGCCCAAATGAGGAGCACGAACTGACATTTCGAACTCCAGGCGCAGCGAGGCACCCTGGAGGCCCCCAAAGAGCCCCCAAAGAGGCCCCCGACAGGCCCCAGGAGATCCTCAAGAGGCCCCCAAGAGGCCCCCGCACCGCCCCAGGAGGTGTCAGGCATACCGCCAACAGGCCCAAAAAGAGGCCTCCCATCGTCTGACCAACCCTTCCTTGTTTCTTCCATTTCCTCCTCCCCCCCCTGCGCCAACGACCCCCACTCCTCAAACGAAAACGCACCGCCAAGAGGTCCCCGGCAGGCCTCCCAGAAGACCCCAAGCCCAAGCGACTCCTAAGGAGGCGCACTGCCCATGACCAGTTTCGCCCCAACTTGACACAAAAAGCTTTCCAGAGACCTCCTCCTCATCATCATCATGCCCCCCTCTTCTTCCTCCTCGCCCTCCTCCTTCACCTTTTCGCTCGCCACCAACACGGAAACATAAAGCACGAAAGATGCAAAATGGGCTGGCGGAGCGCGCGAAACGATTATAGCTTGCAAGTGTTTGCTTGATTATTGCGCGAACAACGCAGGACTGACACGCGATCGCTTCGCTTCCCTCAATCTGCACTCACGGCACTTGTCCCAATCACTAACAACGGCAGGGTCGCGTTTATTGCCATGCTCGCGCGCTTGCGATGCGCAAGGATACCAGAATCCCAACCTCTGCAATATCTGGTGCTGACGCGCGCGAAATCAAGAGCCAAAGTTGAATCTGAACCGCGGCGCAAACCAACCCCACTGTCACATTCGTCGACCAACTCAGACACGCAAGCAGTCTAGCCGAACTTGCGACATGACTTCTGCAACGAGTGAAAAGAATCGATAACTACATGTTGAGCGATGCTCTGCAGCATTGCACTCAATTCTCGCACGTTTGTGATTTCGCGCTGCACGTCGATATCAGAATCGCATAAACCAATTCCGGCTGACCCGAAAAGTGGCGACGCGGCCCCTGCGCGAGCAGAGACATATGCATCAACTCTCGTCGTCTGTCCACTGTCGTCCAGGACGCCATCTGGCAGGCCCGCTGCAGAAGATATGCGTTTCTGAAACAATTTCAACCGACACGTCTTGCGATGGGTTTTGCCGTTTCGAATCGTTCTCACCTGCGCAATTTTCGGCCGGGCCCTTTCTGGAAGAACGGCCCTTGCAATCATCAAGTTTCCGCTTCCGACGCCCTTTCCGGGGGCTTCATCAGCGGGCGGAGCCGGGCACGGCACGCCTGTGAGCGGGCAACAGGCGGCGCGCCATCACGGCGCGCCTCACAACCCAAAGAACCAACAGAAGATCGAAGTTTGACAAGATCTGTAAATTCTGACCTTTGGTTGTCGCGGAATCGACACGCGTTCATCCGCCTTCGCCAGTGGAGGCGGCGCTGGCAAAGCCGCCAGCTGAGCCAGTTCAATGACAAGGCTGACTCTGACATCTGGTTCGTCTGATTCAGGGCCTGGTTCCCAAGGGGCCCCTGACACATTTCTTACGTGCTCCGCATACCAACTCAACGATGGACGGCGTCTGCGGCATGACCTCGGCTTTTTTCCGCGCCGTTTGGAATGCCAACAAAAACTTCATCGGAATTGTCACTGGCACCAAGAATCACACCATCGACAAACTTGTTTATCTAGATTGTTCAGCTTGCCTTTACTTCCCACGGCTTGCAAAGTAAACGCGAATTCGCAGAATTGCGACAAAGCCTTCATTCCTCTGAACGCTCATACGGCGTACGACCATCTGCACCGACCTGCCAAGCGTTCAACACACATAAAGAAAAATGCACCAGAATGCTCAGAAGGAATACGCCACCAAGTATCGGTTTCAAGAGCGTCCTGGAATATACGAATGACACCTGCCATTGTGTGCATTGAACGCTTAACTACACCATTCGCCCGGTGATATCCGATTTGACTGGCCTCGAAAACGACCTCGCAGGATTCGCCCAAGCACGCACGGACCCTTGGTCGCCGGCTCCTGGTCCGACTTGGAAATAAAGATTATGCGTCGCTATCGCAGGTGCCGAAGTCATCAAGTAGACACTCCACCGCGCACGCGCGTGCTTTGCTCGAGATTACACGACAATTACGAAAACCTGAATCATGCTCAACCAAGGCTAAATATGCACACGTTGGATCGTCATGTTGTTCAAATATGAAATAATCAATCGATAACGCGCTCGCTACACAGACTCTGTCTGAAGCGACCGCGCGGTCCAAAGCTCTCCCGCACCCTCGCGCACAGCGAGGGCACCTCGATAGAAACCGACAATGAAAAATGTTTTCGCGGTCGATGATTCGTCGACGAAAGGGCTCGCCCGGATTTAAAAAATTCGGCAAAATGCGCACTTATCACAGACAGCCGGAGCACCAGAAACCAGTTCCGGCGCCGGGATCCCAAGGCCCTCTCCGCGGACCGAATCGTCGCCATCTCCCACCCGCGCGAGCGCGCTCGGAGGAGGGGCCGTTCTGACGACCAGCTGGCTGCCTACAGCTGCACCCGGTTGCCCACGGGCATTGCCGGTCTGGCTATCCACGTCCCAGCCGCCAGAAATTGCAACAGGGTCAAAGGTATCGGCGATGCTTTTGACCGCTTGGGATGACTTCAGAGCCCGATGTGAAACTAACCGATTGGCATTTTGATGGTCTTACGCCTTGCGTGACAGCCACCGGAAGCCCCTATGCGACTGCTGCGAAGAGTCTCTGTTCATTACGCCGCTTTGGCCCCCACTACTGCCACCACTCATGGCAAATAAAAACCTGTGAGTTACCTTCGAACCGGAATGCTGGATTTTGAACTCCATGACGCACGTGTCATGCCCCATCCCAAATGGAGTTTTGCGCTTTGCGGCTAAATCGAACACGAAACAACCCTCTTTTGAAAACACAATCAATTTGCTATGATCACAAATGTTGGACACGGCAAAGAGCAGAGTTTTTTGTTTTCGTCATTGTTTTCAATGCACGACTCTCTTCGTCGGGGACATTCGCCCCGCACGCGCCAATGCAGTCTCGACCGTTTGGTGGGCCGCGGCGCCCTTTCATTTTGTCGTACACGGCTGCAAACCGTCGCGGGGCCACTGTCACACGCGCCCCAGAATCCATTTTCGCTTTCAGCGCACCCAAAAACTTACTTCTCGGACACACTAGGTTGGGATGCCCAGACGCAAGTGGCTCAAGATACACGCCGCCCCAAGCTTGGGAATCAACGCGGTAGCTTTCAGTGTTAGATTTGCTAGAACCTGGATGAATACCCCCAGATGCAAACCTCGGCGCTTTGATTGCCGAAGTATCCGGCTGAGATGGGTGCGCCTGTGGAGCAACATGCCCACCAGAACCAGCCGCCAGTATCAACTGCCGGCTGAGAACCTCGCCCAAACGGTCGCAATCGAAGAACCCTCGGGGATGACGGCGCGCCCTGCGCCATCCAATCCTTCCAAACTAACCCGTCAAAATCGATGCCGTCAGCTCGCGGCAGGTTCGCC